AGTGGGTATTTTTGGTACTTCAGAGGCTCCTTGACCTGCCCCAGCACCCTCAGGACCCATAAATCCCTGACCATTTGAGATATTATTACCCACCACCAAAAAGTGGATCTCAATTCTGACCTTGTACCATCCCTCCCATCAGCATACCTCCTCCTACCCTGTTCTTCAGGGCTTCTCAGACCCACAGCAGGTGCAGTAGAGCTCTCAGAGCCAGCAGCCGACTGAGCACCCTGCAGACTACCTGCTCTGCCTACCTCCTGGCTCTGAACCTCTGCTGAACTTCCCTAACTGCCTACATGACTGCCTCTCACTCACCCTTCAGAGCTCAGTCAGGTAGCCCTTTTCTCTGAAGCCTTTCTTGGCAGAGGCAGTGAAATGATCCTTTCAGTGGGGTCATAGATCTGGGTATGCAGGTATAGTGGTCGATGTTTGCTAAGGAGGACAGCAATGGCTCACAAGGCAGGCCTCTTTGTGCCTTCTTTTCCTACCTCAGAAACCATACACTTTATTTATTCTAGAAACATTTATTAATCCCTTAGTCATTCAACCACCCACTGGGAATTCAGTGAGGATGAAAGACCCAGTTCTTAGGGTCTATTGAGAGAAAGTGATCTTTAGCGAAGAGTCCATAAGTTAAAATATATATATATATATATATATATATTTGTACTATTCAGTTTTTAACCAAATGCATACATTATTTTGATTCAGAAATTTTTAAGAAGGTAAATAAATATGTACTCAAAGACTGTGATAAGTACATTGCAGAAAAAATTCCAAGCTCTTCCAGAGACTGTCAATGGGTACCCTGAGGCAAGAGGAGGTCTGACATTCATGCTGAAAGTAAGGAGGTGAAGAAGGGACAGTGCTGGAATGCCCTGGGTGAGGCTAGGGAGAATTGGCTCATGGGAGGAGCAGGGAGATGGCCATGACCAGGTGGCTGAAGCCCTGTCAGCCAGCATGGCTGAGTGGTCTCACAGGGCTGTGTGGCCCCTATGTGCACTGAGAAGCCATTGAAAGCTGTTAAGCAAGTCCATATCCATTTTCAGAAGACCACTTAGGCTTCCGTGGGGAGGAGGTGGAGTGTTCAGGAGTGGAAGCAGGAGCCTGGCTAGAAGTGTGCAGTCATATGGGCAGAAGTGACAGGCGCTAAGCAGAAGCAGAGAGAAGGAAGCTGCATTGAAGATGCCCAGAAAATAGAGCAGGTAGCTATGGGTTTGATGAGGTCCTGGTAAAGCTCCTGCCCAGGAAGATCCCAAGGTTTCTGGAAGGATAAGCTGAGCTAGGAACAGGTGAGGAATACAGGGTATGGGTAAAGCAGAGCTGGGCACCCTTTGTTTGAGGAGGGAGGTGTGTGAAGGTGAAGTGGAAGACATCAAAACAGAGGTGATCCCCCAGGTGGAGGCATGTGTGACTGGAGTGGAGGATGCAGCTTTGTGAGACAGGGGTGCATGTATCACTCCAGAGCCGCTCAGTGTCTCCTTGCTGACCTTGAAGAAACTAGGCTGCTGTTGACCCTGAAGGATGCAGGTACCCAAGGATACAGCTACTGGCCCAGGAGCTCATGATACTTAAGATTTCACATCACAGAGCTCTCAGCCACCTGTGGTTCTTGGTGCTGGTCAGCCCTTTTCTTGTCTTGTGGGAAACTGCTCTTGCCATGCAGACTGCCAGTGTTAAACTGACACACTTAAGGAGGAGCACAATTGGGAAGTGCATAGCATATAGCTAAAAGTAAAGCTCTAGAACTAGCCCCTTTGTGGATGTGGTGAGATTTAGTGAGGCACATGGCTGTACCTGAGATCAGGCCAACATTCCCAATCTCAGGGCCTTAGCTGGGACCACAGAGTGGGAAGAGGACCTGTGCATAGCTGGGAGTTTGCTTGAAGGCAGTGAGGTCACACTGCTCACCCAATAGTGATGGGCCCATGAGCAGCAATGGCACAGGCACAGAGGAGGCTTCTTCCCTGGCCCACAGCATAGGCCTTACTGCCCCAGCACTCAGACAGCCACAGCCTGGAAGGAACCCAGGGTGGGCTGCAGATCGGAGCCTGGGAGCCCGTCTGTTCTGGTTCCTCAAGGCCCTTTGGCCTAGAACATTTGGTTGAGCCCATTAAAATTAAAAAGCCAAGTGGCTGGGGGCTTAGAATGCCAGCTCGTTTTCCCTGGCATGATGGGTCCTGTTTAAGGGAACCAGCTGGCATTAATGGCACACAACTCATCATGAACAGCAGCTAGCGATCAGAAAAATCAGAGCTGATAATCAGGTTCGGGAAAGATAATAAGATATGGAACAGTCACCGCCGAGGGTCCCCCAGGGTCTGTTTTAGCAGCCTCCAAATAAGCTACATAATAGAAATTAACCAAACAGGGGCTCTATTTGGGCAGAGGGGGAAAACAAACAAGGTACAGACTTGCACAAGAATTCTTCGTGTAGCCAAGCACAAGCCCAGGACCCATGGGACATCAGCAGTGGCCTAAAAGAGTCAAGGAGCCTTCTCTGACCACTTTTCTCTAAGCTCTGACTGCTAGAGGCCAGAGGAAAGGGAAGGCCAGCTTCCTGACAACTTCAGGGAAAGGGAGATCAGAAGAGACCCAAGACCAGGGACTTGTTTTCTCTTTTCTTTCTTCCTCCCTACCCATATGGGGTGGGGAAAACAGGGTAGGTCACCCCTCTGGACTAGCATTCCTGGCCAGAGGTAAGAATGGGGTGGGGGGAGATGGCCTCAGGGTGGTGGGGCAAGTCTGAGTGTTAACTATAAGCAATGAACTCTGTTCCTCTTCACCCTCTGGTTGCACTTTAGTCCTGCCAAACCCCAGAAGGCTTCCATTGTGAAGGGCCCAGAAAACTCTGAGCTTCCTTGCTCGCTTCCTGAGTGGCCCTTCTCCTTGCTCCTCAGTACTTCCTCATCTTTCCAAGTGAATATGCAGGGCTTTGAACTCAGGCCTTCCGACTTCTAGCTTCCAGGGTCAGTTTGGTTCAGAAGGTCTTTGCTTCTGTTTTCTACTTATCTGGACCCCAGTCCTAAGTAGGCCTTTGTAAGGGGGTTTCTTACTATGGAGGAAGCCAGTTTTTTGTTTTGTTTTTGTTTTTGAAGACAGGTTCCACATGTAGCCCAGGCTGGCTTTGAACTACAATCCTCCTGTCTCCTGAGTGCTGGGATTACAGGCATGTACCACCACACCTAGCTCATACAGCCAGTTTTAAATGGCAGACACCACATCATCACTCCTTAAGAAGGACAGAAAATAGCACAGTGATTAAGAGTGAAGCTATGGAACTAGCAGGCCCTGGGTTCAAATTCTAGCTTCCCCTGCCTCGTAATAGCTCGCTGTCCTTGGCAAAATTACTTAACCTCTCTGAACCTGCCTCTTGTCTGTGAAAAGGTGTGACATGGACTATCCAAAAGCCAGTAGTGGGGCTTTCATTAAGATATTACATGTGGGGGTTGCTGATATAAGTTATCCAGCATATACAAGGTCCTTGGTTGGATCCCCAGCACTAAAAAAAATAAGGCATTGAATGTGAAAGTGTGCTTAGTACACAGTAGGTCTTCTTCCCAACTGCCTTCATCCAATCTTTATCATCACTAGTGCCCTTCTATGTTGTGTGCTCTGGCTCCCTCATGCTTTCCTCTCTGTCCTTTCTTTGAGGGTGCAGGAGGCCATTTCTGAGTCACTGCTGAAAGCTAGGGGAAACCTGGACTTGGGGTGCTCCATCTATTTGGTAGGGCAGCACCCAGCTCTGCCCGCTATAGCAGTGAAGTATGCCCAAGCAGCTAGCATCTCTTACCTCCAAGCCTGCCCTTGAGCAATCAATAAGGACAAGGGTTGGACTTTGAGCATCAGAATGGAGGCCAGACACTGAGAGCCCAGGCTGGATGTGCCTTTCAGCTCTCTGGCTCTGTGGGGTGCTGGCTGCCCAGGTGTTGCTGGGTTGGCACTCCCACAGCAACAGTGTTGGTCCCACAGTTGCAGTGTAGGCCAGGCCATTCCTGCTGCCCTGCAGGCACCCAGCCTCCCCAACACTTCCCAAGGCTGTATCTCTCCAACAGCCCAAAAGGATAAAACCAGAGCCAGGTCAAGGGCACGTGTGGCCTACCAAGCCATTAGGTGTGCAGGGCTAAGAGAAGGATGCCCCAGACCTGTCAGGCCAGGTCTTTCCACTGCTCCTACTACCCCCTGTTCTCAGGACAGATCATTGAGGCAGGGCTGGCTCTGGCCACTTGCATCTTAATCTGTTTTCTCTCTACACCTGCACTCATGTGCTTTTTCCCTTTGGAAGTCCTGATGGCCTAAGCACCCCCGTCTCCAAGAAAGCTTCTTCCTGTCTGTGCTGAGTCCTTTGCTTGTTGACCCATGCAATCACTCAACCACCAGCTATTGAGCATGTACTACAGGCTACTACACGCAGACCTAAGTGCTGGGTGTACAAAAATGGAAAAGGCACGGGCCCTTCCCTCCCAGTCTGGCGGGGCCATCAGACCCATTAGCATTAGACCAAATGCTGGGAAAGTTCTGGTGATGTGGGAGGGGAGCAATGGACAGCCTGGGAGAGGTGTCTATTATGGTTGTATTTACAGAGGCCTCTTACATACCAAGTTCATGTTCACCACTTTACATACACCATTATCACAACCCTGGGATGTGGTAGAAATTACTATCCTGTTTTACAACAAGGAAACTCGGCAGAGAAAGGTTAATGACTTACCTGCCCAAGGCCCCACTGTCAGTAAGTGGTGACGCTAGTAGGAGAACTCAGAGGTGGGCCTGAGAGAACAGGTATGGCCTAAGTTGGGTGGGGCATTCCAGGTAGAGGGGCCAGCGCTGGCAAAGGACTGAGGCCAGAAGACTCACCAGCGTATGACTAACGCAAGCTGGCCTCTCAGGACTGCGCCTGATTGCTGGGGAATGGGGAGTGAGGCAGGGCAGGGCTTGTACCTTCTCATGCAGGTCATGGGAAAGGAACAATGATGCCTCACTGCTCTTCCTCCACTTCTGCCCCCTTCTTCCCATGAGTCATTGCAGCACCATGTACTTTTACTGTTTTCTTTTTCTTTCTTTCTTTTGAAGGTGGGCCTTAATGTCCTGGTTCAGAAAGCCAACAAGTTCACCCCAGCCACACGCCTTCTCGTCCAGAGATTTGTGCCATTCCCTGCTGTAGGTAAGAACTGCACAGCACACAGACGTGTATGCTGTACTTGGGGGTTGGGGGGGCAGCTGGACAGATGGCTCTTCCACACCTCTCCTGATGCCTTTGGACTGGAGAAAAATATGTGTGAATGGGAGAAAGAATGCCAGGGCATTGCTGGCCAGCTCCTTGCCTGAGAGTCAGCTTTTAGGATAGGGATTCCTAACCTGGAGTCCCCAGGTCTCCAAGGACCAATGGGTCTGTGAGCTTGGAAAAACATTTTTTCTATCAGGGATGTACCTAACAAACCACAGTAAGAAACAGGATCTGCAGATTTATCACATCTACTTTCATGTCACATTATGGTTGTTACTCAGAGACCTTAAAATATCCCTTATGCTCAACACTAACCTAAAGTGATATTTAATATATCAACTTCTAGATCTTATTTTTCAATTTGTTAGTTAAAAGGCACATTTATAATTAGTATACTCTAATAAAAAGGCCTATTTGTTACTAAATCATAATTTTAAAACGTTTTGATAACTCGTTCTAATATAATCCCTTTATAATCCTTTGGATTTGGTTTTATGCATTTAGAAACATTATTCTAAGAGGTATATGTAGGCCTCACCTGACCATCAGAGGTGTCCTGGCACAAAAAAGCTTTAAAGCTTCTGCCAGGCCTTTGGGATGTCACAAAGCCCAACCTGGCTCTTAAGAAGTGTGTCGTGTTTGGGAAGAGTATCACCATAGTAAAAAGTGTTTTTAAAAAAAATGAACAATATTAAGAGCAACACAAAACTGTGTAAATACACATTTAGTTGTCAAAAGAGACATATAAGTAAGTACTAAAACCCTAACCCCCAGTCTGGTGCCAGAGGAAAAAGGTGGGAGTGGGCCCAGCACAGGGCCTGGGGCCCCATGTCCTCCCTCGTGCCACAAATTAGTCAGTAGAGCCAAGAGTCAGACCTCACTCGTGGCCCTGAACCAATAACCTTCACCTTCAAATTCAGCTTCCCCATGGGTAAAATGCAGGTACCAGTACCTACCTCCAACAGCCCAGAATTCTGGAAACTGCAAATGAGGCCATAGGCCAGACTCCATTGATAAGAAAGTGCTTTGGAGCATCTACAAAGTCCCCATAAGAAGATAGGAGATTGGTACTGGGCAGTCCCACCTCCTCCATGGCCCAGAGGCTAATGAACTCCCAGGACCAACCACCCAGCAGAGCCTCAGCAGACCCAGATAATTGCTATAGCAACTCCACACTTTTAATGAACTCAACTAGTTCTGTCATGGGCCATTAGTAGAATAACTCTGTAGATCAGACTTTGTAACAGGACCTAATTGAGTAAACGTGGTTGCCCAACTGATGTTCGTGGCCACTGGGGCTGGAGGGTCAGAGGCAGCCTGAAAAGGGCAGCTGCCTTGGACTGGATCTGGGACTAACCAGATGTAATCTGTCCTTGAGCCAAGCTTCAGATAAGAACTTTGCCAGGGGCCTGTTCCAGCCTTGTTCTGCTTCCATCTTGCTGTGTGACCTTGAGGTGGTCTTAACTTCTGTGACACTCTTTTAGGAAAAGGGACCCTTCTTTCCTTCTGAGTCTTTCTGACCTGCTTCTCTTCAGCTCCAGCCTGATTCCTTTCCCATCTTTTCCTTGAGACAGAGCCTTCAACCCCTCACCCAAGTACAGCTTCTGCTGGGCGGCTTGAGACTTCTGCACCCCTAACCAGTTGCACAAATTGTCCACAGCGTGGTTTTCAACCCTGACAGTCTTAGTCTACCAGGATCCTGAGAGAAGCAGCCAGACCCATCTGCAAATGGGTACTTGCCAACTCCCCTAGTCAGTGCTGCCACAGTGCTACCGAAGGTGAAAAGGATGCTCCTCCCCAACAGGGTTCAAAAGCCATCACTGTGCCTGCACCTATCTCCAGGTGCTCTGGCCAGGACAGAGTGTCCTGGACACTCTGTAGGCTGCCAGGCTTCTGTCTGCCCCAGGATATTCACCCCTGCTTTCAGGACAAGCTGGGCTACATGAGGCTGGGCAGCCCAGGGCTGGGCCACTGTTAGAGGCTACTGAGAAGCTTGCTCAGGATGTTGTTTGCCCCTTTGGGTGCTGGCATGACTGGGGGACAGGAATTGAGCGCAGGGTGTCCCTGGGAAGTAGGTAGAGGCAAGAGGAAGTGATGCAATGAAGCCCTCTTTGTGTACAGAGGGGTCCTTTGGGTGATGCGGCTCCTGAAAATGCCCATGTGCCCCATGCTCAGAGGTCATACCCCACCCCACTCTCCTAGGCAAGCTGGGAACAAGGAATCCATTGTTTTTTTAGCTTTCCCAGGGGGTGCTTGCCCAGCCCAAAGCCTAGAATATGGGAGGAGACATCTCCTCAGAGCTCTACACTATTGAGAGAGAGCCTGAGATCCCAGGCTCAGGACACCTGCCTAGTATCTGTGTCTAACTTAGCTGCTCCCCCCCCTTTTCAGACCCCACTTGAGACCACCTGTGCAGTCTCTGCAGGCCTGGGATTGCAGAGCCCAGGACTCCCAGGGGCCACATAGCTGTCCTCCCTCTCCGTGCTCCTCATTCTGTGCTGGGAAGACCCCAAGGCAGAGTGTGCCACGCTCGTTTTACAGAAGAATAAGAGAATTCAGACTTCTGAAAGTCACACTGACCTGGACAAAGCCTGGGCCTCCCAGGCCCCCTGTCCTCTGTGGCTGAGAAACTGAAGGATGTGTCCAGGGGCAGCCGGGCTGCTCGGTGTTCTGCCAGGAGCATGCTCACCCCTGACTTTTCACCTGGGGTTGTGCGTGTGCGTGTGCGTGTGTGCGTGCGCGTGTGCGTGTGCGTGTGCGTGTGTGTGTGTGTGCATGCGTGTGCATGTGCTGAGCACGTGGGAAGCCCTGGATGTTCCTGCCATCTCTCGCCCTCACAGGATTTCAGAGCCATGCCATGCCCCTGGTCTGGAGCAGCAATCATGTGGGAAATCTCGGTTTCTATTTATATATGGAGATGGTAGGAAAGACGGTGAGCCCAGGAGCATGTGTGCTGGCATCAGAATCGATTGGGGACTGGTAATTAATTTGTTTAGACCTTAATTAATTCTCCAGTTCTTTCTTATTTGTGGACTGTCACGCTTAATTGTGTTCAGGAGCTTGAGCTCAGAGCAGGCCCTCCATTAATTGACGTGTAGTTGCTGTGAGGTGGAAGTTAATGGTTTGGGAAGCTGGGCAAACAGTGTAATTAAAGGTCGATAGAAGAGGCACTGGAAAAATACACACCCTCAGGTCCAGCCACCAGCCTTCTTAAGCAGACACCATTGTAGGGGAAACAGTTCCCACAAACAGCCTTTTTGTGAGGACTTGGGAAGTGTGGGGGGGGTGGGGAATGTACACCAGCAAGGGGAGGGACACTGGTCAGAGGAATAGACAAGCTTGGTGTCAAGAATGGGTTGGTGGAGGCTTTCAAGAGGAGACCCCAAAGGTCACTCAACACATCTCCAAAGCTGGTGCCCCAGGCTGTGTATGTGAGTGTAGGCAGGAGGCCCTGAAGGTCACCCCCAGCCTGTCTGGCTGTGTCCATGGAGAAGGGAACAGCAGTGAGTGCCTAGGCTAAGAAAGACCCCATCTGGGCCCTGAGCTCCCCATTGAAGAGGTCTGAGCCTTAGCGTCAGCCCCCTGACTCCTTCCAAGGGAAGGTTCTTGCATGGACCAGAAATGCAAGCTTCAGCATCTGTTGGAAAATGACTTCTGGTGTTGCCCCCATCAGTCCATTTTGTTAAATGTCGAAATGTGTCTCATGACCATGGAAAAAATCTCTGTGCTCACTGGGGAGCCATTGCTCAGGGAATCTGAGAGGTCTTTGGGAGAGGGTCTGTTCACACGCAGTGTTCCCATGCCTGCTCCTCCATGCCCCCTCCACTCCAAGGCAACATAGATCTTTGTGTCCTTGATGCCCCTTCATTCCACTGCTCCTCCCTCATGCTCAGGTCACCCTGCTTCCCTCATCCAGGAGGTGGCCAGGCAGTACTGCCTGAGACCCAAGGATCCACCCCTAGGTCAAAGCACAGCTCCCTCATCTATGGCTTCTCCATCCCTCGTCCCCTGTAAGCAGGGGTAGCAGGGTGTACCTGGGAAGGTGTGTCCCGAACCCTGGGACAAGTACTCTCTTCATTGATAGTCACTCCTCAGACCCCCCAGCCCAGCACATAGGGCTTAACATGGGGTTTTATTTGTTTGTTTGTTTTATTGTTTTGGTTTTTTGAGACAGGGTCTCACTATGTATGTATCCCAGGCTTGACTCAAATTTGAAATCCTTCTGCCTCGGCCTCTCAAGTGCTGGCATTACAGGCGTGCACCACTACACCTGATGTGGGTTTATTAAATGATCAAACAAGTGCTTTGGCACAAAAGGTTTGAGATTAGGCATTCAGAGTAGAATCCCACCCTAATGACATTGGTAAGTAGATTCTATTGCCCCCTAGTTTTTTTTTTTTTTTTTTTGTGGTACTAGGATTTGCAGTACTGGATACAGGGCCTCATGCTTGTTAGGTAGGTGCTGTACTGCTTGAGCCACTCCACCAGCCCTTTTCTATGTTGGGATTTTTTGAGATAGGGTCTTGAGAACTATTTGCCTGGGGCCAGCTTTGACCCGCCATCTTCCCAGTCTCTGCCTCCTGAGTAGCTAGGATTACAGGTGTGAGCCACTGGAGCACGCTGCCCCTAAATGTTTATTCTGAATTTTTTTCATTTTAAAATAATTGTTTTTGAGTGCTCTGGTTTTTTGTATAAGTTTTCACCATCACACTGTCCACTTTTTTAGCCAGTAGGCCTTGGGTGGATGATCAGGAGGCTCACAACTCACCAGCTCGTCCTGGGTATGTTATCCAACCATAAAATGATGATCCTGGTATCTCTAACCATTGTTTTTATTAAATATGCCAATCTCTCAGCACATAATGAGCTCTTGATAAATGTTAGTCCTCCCCCAGCTCTGTTGCCCTCCACCTGCCCCAACCAGAGTGGTGAAAACACATTCCTGACATCAGGGAAATTGTTATTTGGGGACAAGGAGTGGTGGGATGCTCAAAATGGCACAGAAGGCAAATGTTCCAGTAACAAGTGCTATAAAGTTTCATAGAGGATAAAATCCATTAGTCATTATTTCTAAATCATTTTATAATACTTCCTAGATTGTAGGAATCTAATGTGACCTAAATTATTTAGGGGGAGGATGTTTGTTTTGAAAAAGAGAGAGAAAGAGAGAGAGAGAGAGAGAGAGACATGTTAAATTCCACCATCAAAGAAATATCTGGGCAGGTGGCATGGATTTTGAAGAGTTATAGAAGGGTGCTTGTGTCAGAGATTCCTGGAAGGATAGGTGGAGGGCCAGAATTGATGCAGCCTCAAAACAAGCTGGGGCTCCCAGCATGTGTCAGGCCCCAAGAGGACATGGAGAGTGGGACCAAATTAGCTAAAAGAAGTCTCTAATGGTGTGGCCTAGGGTTTTGTCTTTAATCTCATCCCCTTCAGTAATTTTATGACTACCATGGATAGAGGAGTTCAGTGACTCACATTCAAGGAATAAAGACACCAATCTGGCAGGGTTGTGAATTCATGGACAAGAGTACAAGATCTAAAAAGATCTCTGGGCTGATGTAATCACACAAGGTTTGATGGAAGGCATGCTGATCAAAACTGTAGCTGCAGACATGTTAGGACACCAAGACCTGGCTTGGCCAAAGGACTGAGGATGAAGATCCTGGGGAGTAAGGGGGCTTCATGAGCTATATGCTTGGAATGGGTCCACCATGTGGTATGTTTCTTTGAGGCTCACTCAGACTTCAGCTGCATCACTAAAGACAAAATGCCTAGAACAAAGGAGGCTGTATCCAGAGTATATCTATCAGCAAGGGTTGCAGGATCTCCTAAAAAAAAAAAAATGACAGTCTGTTATTGGAATGAGCTGTATGATCCCTGGGTTTTAGGGAAGTGTCTGGGCCAGTAAGCTGGCCCAAAAAGCTGTCCAGGACACTGACAGGTGACCAAGTCACCTGTTTCTCGACAGCTTGCTCAGGACCTGGCATATAGTAAGTGTTCAACAAATATTTATTGAATGAATGACCTTCCAATTCAGAGATTTTACCATTCCTAAAGTCCAGAAGGCAGAGAAGGCACAGGCTGGGAAGGAGGTCTGTCGGGAGAGAGGCCTTGAGATAAGCTTAGGGTTTGAGTTTTATCTCATGGCTAATGGGGAATCACTGCAGAGTGTCAAGCAAGGGACCACCATGACAAGAGGGGGCTTTTCAGAGGAATGAATTAATGGGAATCTAACGTGAATAGAGCCCTAACTTCAGAGTCAGCCTACCCCTAGCTGATTTTTCAGTACAGAAATTCCTGGTCCTGAGTTGGTGACTCTTCAGTGTGGGTTGTGAAACTCCCCCCAGAGTGTCAAGCTATTTAAAAGAAAATATGTGCCATTTATTTCAGCCTCTCAGCTGAAATAAAAGGGAATATTGTGGAATTAAGTAAATCAGAGGTATACGCCCTCATTGGAGTGGTGCTTATCAAAGCAAAGGGGTTGTATTCTGCAGTTTGTGCGAGGGTGTGCATGTGTGAGTGTGTGAAGGTGGTAGTGTGCATGCATTGCACTTGGAAATGCACAGATCTCTGTGGCAGGATGTGAGAACCAGATGAGATGAAGCTAGAGGTCAGGGTTGGAGGGACACTTGCATTTGGTTATTCACTTTTATGCAATTTGAACTGTGTGCCATGTGTATGTGTTACCTGCAAAATCATGAAAGGGAAGGAGAGAGGAAGGGGAGAGAGAGAAGGGAAGGGAGGAGGGTAATGCCTGTCCATCCTTGCAGATGAGAGAGTGGAGTCTGTAAGTACTTTGCTCCAGCATCAGTCTGAGCTAAAACAGGAAGCAAGTCTTCTGGTTGCTACTAGAGTGCTTGGTTTGTTTAATAAAAAATGGTAATATTTTTTCCAATAGTATGTAATTGTTGTGTAAAGTTAATCTTACTATTCTCTCCAGAGACAAGCTTAGTATATCCCTTCAAATTCAAGTAAACATCTAAGAGTGTATGAATCTGCTTATTTATTGTATATAAATGTAATTGAGTTCAAGGGAATCAAATAATTACACCATTCTGTAAGCTGCTTTTTATCCTCACAATAAAGTGTTGATGGATTTCCATTGCACTCATTAAAAAATATTTTTTGGAAGTACTGGAGTTTGATCTCAGGATTTTGTGCTTGCTAGTCAGATGCTCTACCACTTGAGCCATACACTAGTCTTTTTTGCTCTGATTATTTTAAAGATAGGGTCTCACTTTTTGCCCATGCTGGCCTGTACTGTGATTCTCCTATTTTACACTTCCCACCATAGCTGGAATGACAGGTGTGTGCCACAATGCCCATATCTGTTTTTCTGTTGAGGTGGGGTCTCGTGAACTTTTTTTCCTGAGCTGACCTGGATCCTTGATCCTCCTCATCTCAGCCTTTCTTGTAGCTTGGGATGACAGGTATGCACACAGTGATGAACCACACTCCAAAAATTGTAACTTAACCTTCCTACCAATAATTCATTCCATGACTTTTAAATTATGATATATTTTAAATATGATAAAAATTGAAGAAATGGAGAAATAAAATGTTAGATACAATGGAAGCCCTTGTGCCCTCCACCTGCTTGATTCTGGTCTCCTTTCCCCAAGGAAGCTGCT